GATCACCTGGGGTCATCCAGGGGTCACCTGAGGTCATCCAGGAGTCACTTGGGGTCACCTGGGGACATCAAGGTGTCATTTCAAGTCTTCCAGGAGTCACTTAGGGTCACCTTAGGTCATCCAGGGGTCACCTGGGGTCACCTTTGGTCACCCAGGTGAGTTTTAGGGTCTCTGGTGAGGTGGGTGTAACTTTTGTGGGGGTTTGAAGAAGGTGGGTGGGGTTTAGAGGGGGGAGGGGCTTCTTGGTTGTCCCGTGTGAGTGGGCGTGGCCTGTGAGCTCCTCCAGGTGAGAGGGTGTGGCCTTTGGGCCAATCCAGGTGGATCTCAGGGGGCCTCAGGTGAGGGGATTGTCCCACTCTGCTCTGCACTGGGGCGGCCTCACCCAGAATACTCTTTTGGGCACCACAATATAAAAAAGACATGAAGCCATTAGAGAGTGTCCAAAGGAGGACAATGAAGATGGCAAAGGGCTGCGAGGGGAAACCGTGTGAGGAGTGGCTGAGGGCACTTGGTTTGTTCAGCTGGAGGAGACTGAGGGGAGACCTCACTGCAGTTACAACTTCCTTGTGAGGGGGAGAGGAGGGGCAGGCACTGATCTCTGCTCTGTGGTGACCAGTGACAGGACCCGAGGGAATGGCCTGAAGTTGTGTCAGGGGAGGTTTAGGTTGGATATTAGAAAAAGGTTCTTGCCCCAGAGAGTGGCTGGGTGCTGGAACAGGCTCCTCAGGGAAGTGGTCACAGCACCAAGCCTGGCAGAGTTCCAGAAGCGCTTGGACAATACTCTCAGGCCCATGGTGTGACTCTTGGGGGCGATCCTGTGCAGGGACAGGAGCTGGAATCAAAGATCCTCGTAAGTCCCTTCCAGCTCGGCACAGTCTGTGATTGTGATTCTGTGAAAAGTTACTCACCGATAGTGACTGCCAATGCAACACAACTCTGAATGGTATTTACTTTTCAAAACTCTTGCAGGCTTGGGAAATGCTGTATTTAAAAAGCCAACGGAGCCATCTAGTGTTTCAATTAAAATTTGCAGTTCTATGTGTTTTGGACTTCTGTGGGCAGGAGCAAGATCCAGGTGCAATCTCAACAGTCAGAGAGGGAAAGCAGCTCACAGAGTTTCACATTAATCCCTGACAGCTCTTCATCCTTACAAACTGTATAGTTATTGTGCTGGAATTAACAGTGTTAAATTGTAAGTGAAGATTTCTATTAATTCATTAGAGACACTCAAGATGAGAAAAAAGATTTTTCTGGTATTTATCCTTCATATTCTCGTGTTCAGTTACACATTTTCATTTCTGCTCAACATTTCAATCCTCCCCATGCCTGTGCTGCTTTGTCACCTGCCACTTCAGGGCATGGACTTGATCAGTTGGTTTCTGTGGGTTGACCTTTCCTTCTGTGAACTGTCCTTTTGGCAGTCTGGCCTCTCATGCACTCTGGAGTTGGTCAGAAAGCTGGGAAGAGGCCACATCGAACGTTTCATACTTTTTTCCTCAAAATTCAACACCAAGCTTTGGTGGCTGTGATCTCCCTCCCCAGCAGGCAGGCACAGGAGACATGCACATGGGTTGCACTAGGTTTTTTCCTCATCATTTCTCATGCTGAGCTCAGATACAACTGCTCCACATTTGTCACCCACAGTCATTTCCCCCTGTTACATGTTTATGTTGTCATTTCCTGCATCTGCACACAACTTTTAGAGAAAAAGAAATGTGATTTTTATGGTTATTTTTTAAATACTTGGGCTGGCTTTGTTCTCCTAATGTAACCTTGGAAGGTGAGTGCAAATGAACCAATGGCCACAAACAGGCAAACCAGAATTTTGCAGCCTTATGGATTAAAAAAAGGGGGTCAAAGCAGAGCTGGGACTGTGACTGAGCCAACCCAACCTTCTGCTGGCACGGGAGTGCAGGATGGAGGGCAGAAGGAAAAGCCACTGATGTTTCTGAGGCAAAGCACCTCTTCCTGGGTCCATGTCAGAAGTCACTGTCCCAGAATCATTCTCCTTTTTTTCCTTTTTGTCTTTCTTTTTTTTTTTTTCCCTGTCCAACTCTGGTCTAAACATATGGATTACCCAGACAGCATGCAGTGAGTCACTTAAATCCCAATATCTGCCTAAAAATCCAGCATGTGTGTAACTCAAAGGTAGGGCAGGCTCTGGGGGACGAGAACTGGTCTGACCTAACTTTAGATGTTTGAAAGACAGTTGACTAAATCTAAGCTGGTGTTCTAAAATTCTTTGTAGTCCATCAGTTGAAGCAAACACTGTCCAAAAAATAGTTTATTTTGGTCTCTGCATGGGTGCCTAAGGATGCTGGAGTCAATCCCACATGGCCAGCAAGAATTACTGAAAATCAGTTGCTTACCAGGAATCTCAGAGTGAGTCAGAATTATCTGAGTTCTTTTGGAAGCTACTTCTGGATGGCCATTTTAGACAGGAGGGACTATGATTCTAAGAATCATTTAACAGCTGGACTCCTTTAAGGAGTTGCCCAGTGTGCTCAAGAAAGAAAACTGAGTGAGTCTTGTGCTTCATAAACCTGTTTTGGTTATCACTGGTGGTTCTTCTGCCCACTATATATTTAAAGGTTTTTAAAACATTGGGAGTTTTGTCAGTGGTAATATTGCCAAAAGTCAAAATTAAGGTTCTGATAATATCACAGAGCATTGCTGCTGTGTTATGTTTACTGAATCCCTTCAAAGGGACTATCGTATTATCACCGTGACCTCAAAAAAATATTAGTCTTGTTTAATCATTAGAACAAAGAGCTGGAGGCCAGAAAGATCATAATACAACCATTAAGGAGAGAGGAGAGCCAACAATGTGGTTCATAGAAAACAGAGACCACAAAAGACCTATCTGAGTCTGCGGAGTGTTTCCATTTTCCCCAGCTGATGTACTGCACAAACCCATCATAAATCCAGCTTCTCCAGAAGTGAAGTTTACATTAAAGCAGATCCTGTGCCAAGCTGTCCTGTTTACAAAGCTTTTGTCCACATGAGGAAATGGATGGTTACATGGCATAAGCTACTTCTGAGCTATTCTAAAAGCTGCAACTAGTTATTTAAGAGCAACTATTGTGGAATAGCTTATGCTACACTGGTTACACCCATCACTTTCCCTGGAGAGAAGAAAATCCATTGCAATATTCTAAATGTGAACTCACTGTAAACTTTTGCAGCGTTTTCTTCAGGACTTCACAAATAGGCAACTTGAAATAATATTCTGAATGACATCAGTTGTCCTCAACCAGTTAACTCTAAAATCTAATGGCATGACTTGGAATGCTTAGCAAAACTTTGATTGGAGGCAATTAGAATTAAGCATGAGAAGAAAGAGGAATTATTACAGGGAGGAAAACTCCAAGGGAAGGGAAGAGAAAGACAGAAAAGCAAATGGAATGAATGAATAGCAACAGAAGGAAAACTGTAAAGAAAATCCAAGTGCAGAAATAACAGTGGAAGTCAAGATGGGAATGTTTCCTCAACTGAGAAATAATCATGGTTGTAAGCCTGAGTCAGCTCCCACAGCACAAAGGGACAGGATTCCTCTAGAGCTTAGTGCCTGGGCCCCACTGGTACCAGTGTGTGCCTCGTGCTGTTCATGAAGTGCATCAGATAGTCCTGAATTCAGGCAAGCAGTCACTAAACGTGGCATTTGGCCTTCTCTGCAGAACGACTTTTCACATCCCCAGTGCCAAGAGTATTTTCTCCACTGCATGCCCATGTTTGTTCTGCCAGCCTTTTCACTGCTTGCTTCTTTTACTCACAGTATGTCCAAGCCCGACTCTGGGACATTTCAATCTGAGTATCTTTTAAAAGAACTGGGGTTTTTCCATCTATTTTGAACAGGACAGAGCAACTTGCTGTTTGCTTCCATCCCGATGGCAGAGACTTCTTTCTCCCTACCACGACAGATCGAAGGAAAAGGAGCTGATAAAAGGTTACCTTGATCAAAAAATATAATCATAGTTGTGATATTTGAGGGAATGTAATCTATGTAATAGAAATTTTGTGCCCAGTTTTTAATGTTTAGGTGTGTTTTAAATACCACATGTGCACCCACATCTGCTAACAAAGCTTTTCTGTCTGAGATTAGGAGTGAAGGGAAGTCCTTTGTTTGAAACCTTATGGTTTGACCAAGCAGGGAAGTTGGATGAATGTTTTACTCCAAATGTTTCTGCAGAGGAATGAAACTTCTCTGAAAAACCAAAGAAACCAAGTGGTGTAAATGGATATATAAAGTGGAAAAGTCGCAAGCACGTAAAAGTACTGGAGAAAGAGATGGAAGGACTTTATATAAGGTGGAACTAAAAACAGGGGACAGGAGATCTGCATTAGCTGCAGGAAGTGAGACCTGAGCAAGTGAACTGGGCAGGACTTTGGCTGGAGTTTTCAGAGCAGGGTTCTGGATAACTCCAGACAACGTGGCATCTACATATAACAAGTCATTTAGGATGTGTCAGAAAAATACACACTGTGTCTCTTAGGTTATCCAAATGAAGAGCAGTAATGTATTAAAAACCCATGCAATGTGTGTA